TACTGAATACCATACTTAATGAATCGTTAACTAACTGTTTGAATGATTTTCTCATACAGGTCTGGCACACAATCCAAGTAATGTAGGTCATTTAATAAATAGGTTTATAGATGTGTATTTTACTTCAAAGCTAAAATAAATAAATTCGAAAAAACGATGTCACACTAAAAAATCAACACGTGATGAAGTCTGACCATTAAAATACGATCTGATAAAATATACAGAATGTCCTTAATGGAGATTGTATTTGTTATTTTAGCGAGACATGAAACCAAGAAGCGTCAATGATTTGCGGTCATGTGTCTGAAGGTGTGAATTTTAAAAACATTGACATATTTCTAAATTACGCTTTATATACGGAAATGATGAATGATGTTGATATAAGCACAACAGACTAATTTAGATCGAAGTTGTTATCACCAAAAAATCACGTGATGAGTAACTTTGGAACAATTTTTTGATAAGCAAGATTCCCCATCGGTCTGCGTCGCTAGCTAGAAATCAATATATCAAAATTTCAGACCATTAACATTCAAACAGGGTTAATTTAATTCAGTCACCTTAAACCAATTTCAAAAACTAGTAAACCTATAATTTACTCTCAATTCTAAACAAGGTTATATACATTTGACTCTTGTGACCTTGAACATCGGTCAATGTCATTTTTTATTGGAAACTGTTTCGGGTTATATTCCTGTTGCTCCTGTTGGACCTGGAATATTTGTCAAGATAATTCATTTCACAAGCTATATTGGTCTCCTTCACTGGTCCAATAGCATGACTTTACGCCTTTTGGTTTATCTCAAGAAGTCATTTGAAGGATGAACAAATTTGACCTAGGGGGCTTAGAAAATAGGTCTCTTATTTCTTTTCATAAATCTTGTCTAGTTATGTTCCTCAGATCTGTCAGCAAAATACAATGATCCTATGGCTCCAATTTATTCGGTCGTAGGTTTTTATCATATTTGACCCCAGTGACCTTGTATATGAATATTTCTTATAATATTACTTTGAAAAACATTGATCAGATCGCTATCATGATTTTGGTTTATCAGAGGAAATCGTTTGACGATTTTAACAATTTGGCGTGTGTGGATACATGTATGGCTCAAGGTCATTTGGCTTCATGCCCTTTGTCTTCATTCCAGTAACCTTTGAACCAAATGTCGTGATTGTACACATCTAGGTTAATTGAAATTGGTTGTTAAAGGGCTTGAATATGTTTGACCACTGTGACTTTAAAGTCTTTCATAATCGCAAATTAGGCTTGAATTTATCCAAGGAACCTAGTACCCAAATATCGCACTTCTACATTTTTTGGTACATAAAAAGAAGCTTCGTGAATTTTTTAAAACCAATATGAGTCGTGTGACCTGGAACATATGTCAATGACATCTCTTTTAGGAAACCCTGCCAGCTTCATTATATGGACATACAGACAAATTATAACTTGGTTATTGAGAATTCGTTGGGAGGTTGGCGCGGGCGGACGATCAACATATGTTTTCATCGGAATTCAATGAATAAGCTTTCTGTCATATTCAATGACCTTTATCAGAATTAAGTTTTATCATGCATGTACATTGTGAGTTTTTTTCAAGTGTTCTGCATTCCTGAAAAGCAACCTGAAAGCACCAATTGTCCTTTCTGAACTTGAACGATTTAAACAGTCAATATCACAACGCATGTAATATTGCACTCTTTTATACCGTCTAAAAATACTGCTGTTTTTTTAGGAGGAAACAGACACACACAGCGTCACTAATATGAATACCAATTGAAAATGCAAATGCGGTATGATGTGAAAAAGTTTATAATTGCAGAAAATATCACAGACAAATGATAATATGATCTCCCGTCGCGATCGTTGGACATTGTAAAAAGGGAAGATCAAAGATGTCGTCGGGAAAAGCAAAGACATCTGATACTTCTGCATATAACATACAGACTGTGCATGCATGATTGTCTATAACTTATCATGGTCATAGCATGTGACTGGGAACAATGTTACTGCATGTCGTAAGAGGCGACTAATTTTGGTACTTCCCTGGTAGATCGGGGATGGTTTTCCCAGTCCTTCTGTTTAGGGTTTATCTGGGAAACCAAGAAAAGGGGTAGCTACATATCACTTCAAGTTCGATGAAGTCGACAACATTGAAGCGAACAACATAAATCTTATGACCCCATTGTGATACTTGAGGTCTTTATATTTTCCTTTTGGTTCATCTTGCTATTGTTTTCTGTCTTTCTTTTCTACAATCTTGGTGCCCCTCTTGACGCCTGTAATCAAATAGCCCTGGCTGTTGCGAAGACGTAAAGTACATAAGCAAACAACTTGTCAAGTACATATCAGTCCATTCTCAAAGTTAGATTTTTGCTAATAAGGTGACGTAATTCCTAGTTTTGACCGATATTTCAAATGTTCTTCTTTTCTTTCCTTTCTTTCTTTCTTTCTTTTCTTTCTTTCTTTCTTTCTTTCTTTCTTTCTTTCTTTCTTTCTTTCTAAGGATGTATATCTTATATCATATGATATCTTATTTGTCGACAAATTTTATGTAAAAAAATTAACATATTTTTTGATCGACAAATGATAAAAGCCGATATATATTTTGTTAAGTATTATATATCATCACAATTACAATCAGAGAACAAAGTGGACATTAATGGATAATACATACATTATACGAGATTTGATTAATATATGTTTTCTAAATTCATACGAAATGTTAAACATGAAACACGAATGGAATACATTTTCAACATCAAAGGTTAGTAACACGCCCTTCCAAAATCCTAGATTGTACAGTGACAGAAAAGTGATGAAAAACTTGCATAACGCAGTTTGCTACATATGTTTGCTACATTGTCTCGAATTCTAAATTGTATTATTGAAATGAACCATCATATTATTTGCTTCTGTACAATCAGTTGACAACATGAGATTACCTCTGTTGGTCGGGTTTGGTCCCCGAAGTTACCAAAAATCTCGCATGTCACGATAACATTACATGACAAAGCTGAGCATATACTCAAGCAAAGGATCTTCTTTCAAGATCTAGATACTGACAATGGAATTTACTAAACTGTTACTTCAGTAAATATCTATATTTAATACTAATGTCAGCTATTTTTTAAATTTTGTCCCTCGACCCAAAGCATCACTGAAAGACGTATCAGATGTTTGATGTGGTTTAATTAGCATTAGACTATACTGTGTTTAATATCGGCACCAAAGTTGTTACGTCAATTACTACTCGCTTTCGTGCATTCGTCAAAACATGCTAACACCGAGTATTTCTTTCTTATCAAAACCATAAACGTTTATGCATTTGTCAAACTTATTTTTCGTATTTCATTGATGATATTTATTAATTTCTCTAAAATAATATCACTTATTTAAGGATACAACTACCAATTCTGTGTATGTAATAACTCCACGTGCATGCATGCTCATTTATCAGGTGCGTGAATGTAACTTGCCTGTTTTGTTATGTAAAATTGCCATATCATCTTTATCGCACGACACTGTTGTGACGTCATAAATAAGTCACGCTTTGATTACTCACATGACAGTGCGAGTTTTCGCTTATATTTTCTTAGATATATGTTATAAAATGAAATCTTACATTCGTGTCGATGTACAAGTTCAAACCGTGTTAAGTATTTGATATCACACAAGTTTAAACGCTCGTGACATATCAAATTACCTAACCTATTGAATAAATTCCAAATTACATCGACAAATGTGTATGATCATCAAGTTGTAGGCTGGAAATATATCCAAATGTTTGAGTGGGCGATGTCGTGCTTCAAACTGGTTATTTTTCCTCAGAAAACTTGCCGCCTCATTTGAATAGCGTATATACTGTAGGGCCAATCCCAAACAATCTCATGATCCATATGAGAAAATCAATTTCTCTGGAAATGTCATGCAATGACGACTTAGCAGTGAACCGTCTGTTTGATTGATGAAACAGTCTATGACACTTACCATATACTTTTCCTTAATGGGAGACATGCAGTCAAATTGGTATATTTTTTTAGAAAGTGAAAGTAAATCTATATTTAGAAAGTAACCCTCCCCAATTTCCCCCCCATATGTATGAAGATGTCACTTTGTATACTAAGAATGACATGTAATTCACAGTGTTACCATTATGACGTAAATATGGTTGGCATATAATAGGTCATTGTACAATGTACAGTAAAATGTTCCGCCTGGATAGCTATCCCGCCATAATGGATAATTTATCATAGTTCAAATCTAGTTACATTTTTGTCACACAACAAAATATGTACGGAAAATAAACGTGTAAATAAATTGAGCTGTCATTTCATAGTATTTATGGTCGTTATAATTGATATGTTTTGCGCATGCAAATTGGTATGTCTGCCTGCTGATCTGTCATTTATATCGACCATAAATGACAAATCAAGATAGTTCAATACTTGAATAAGACAACTCCGCATATCAATACTATCGGCCACTTATCTCTAATTTATTTCAAATGTTGTGCCTGAATACTCCTCACTTACTTTAAATGGAAATTTTTAGTGTGGTTTATTTTCCTTGATTTCGTGGGTATTTATGATCCACTTATTCATAATTATGTGGACGATTCAATTAAATGTTACATTTAAGTATTTCAATAGATTCTTAACTACATTTATCCGCCAAATTTAGTACTCATGAAATATTGTATTTTTAGAAAACCACGAATTTTAAGCCTCACGATAATAAAAGATTTTACTTTAAATGTTTATACTCCATATTCCCAATCAACAATATATTCAGACGCATAAAATACGTATTCCTTAAATTCAAGTTTTGTGCTTACTTGTCAGGCATATTGTATCATAGCTGATGAAATTCTTACAGAAAATCACAATTTTCATTAAAATAATCTCACTCACCAATAATAGCTCTATCCGTTCTGAAATTTTCACGCTTGAAAAAAACCACTCAATGCTGAAAATTAAATGATGATGACAATACTTACCCAACATACGAAGGACAGCTTTCCTGGCACGAGTAGCTGTGGACTTTGCACCTTTTGAAAAATATCTGATGGACGAATCGATTTCAGTCCTCCTCAAGCGAATCCCTATCAATATATACATAACTGTGATAACTGTCATAGGCAGGAAGAAAAAGGCGAAGGTTGAAACCTGGAACATAATTTTCATCCTCGGATGCCACTGTATGGGTATGTTACAAAGCAAAGAGTCCTGTATCGGGGATGAAGTCCGAGGATCCTGCATGTAGTAAAACGTTCGTGTATGGATTGGGTAAGGAAGCGCGGATAACGCCGAGACTATCCAAATGCAAAGTATGCATTTCATGGCACGTGATTGTCTCGAGACTTTTTGTCCCGTGATTGGATGGCAGATAGCAATGTATCTTTCTATTGTAAAGCCAGTGATTGTCAGAACAGATGCGTATGATGTAGACTCCAGTAAGAAAGATTTGAAAATACAAAATGGCTCTCCGAACCTCCAGGGATAAGCCTCCCAAATGGCGTAAACTTCCGGTGGAAGAGCTGTTAAGAAATAAAAAAAACAGAATTACTTCCTTTCAAAACCTAGAAAATGTGCTATGAAATGGTGTCATGTCAAGAAACAACAAGAAAATACAAGCATGCCAACATAATCATAATCCAAACTCTAGGTCAATAAAACTAGGGCAAAATATGAATGAAACAAAGATTTACACGGAGAAAACGTACAAGGAGAATAAATCCAGGTGTTCCGGAAGAGTAACCAACAGGCAAACTTACAAGCACGTCCTGCTTCATCTCGTACAAAGAAAAACTATTTTTCGATGAGATTAATATGGCTACCATAAAACTTCACCATAATTTTCATTAAAATGCATCATTTGATACCATATGTTACGAGGTTGTCAGTTGACGACATCTTGCACGAAAATCCTGCCCTTGAATACCGAATTAACTGTGACATGTGCTGATTGCATGAGCAATTTCAAACGTCCGTCGAAGGTCACGGTCAAGGTCACAGAGCCAAAGGAACATACACGCTAAAAATGAAAGTCCTATCTCTTACGGTGCAAAAATTATGGGCAAGGTTAACGCTGACAACAGAAACAAACAGACAAATACAATAAGCCCCCGATCTTTCGATCCGGTGGTATAAAAATACAAAAATACGGAATCGAACGAAAAATAAACGATATGGTAAATAAAGGGATGAACCGACAAGCAACAAAACAAAGATATACAGAGGTAAGATACTATTTTGGGTATCTCAATACCGCCTTATTTTCCTAATTCTAATTGCCATTTCCATTATTTTTCATAATTTTTACAAAAGCGCGAAGCAGGACCAAACAGAACGCATTTTTACCAAGGACAAAAGTTTTCACAATAGGTTTTTTTTTACGGTAACTTTGTCATTGACTTTTTCATTCTCGAAAAAAGACCCTTCAAAGTTACAAGTTTTACAGTAATGCCACATAAGATCCTAATCAACACCTTGACTAATCTGTTTTAATCTGGAGTATGATGGAACATTTCGGTTATTGCTTGAGGGAATTATCCATCAGCTCAAAGTCAGTCAACTGTTTGATACGGCTTGGTCCTTTAATTATTAAGACGACTGACTGCGAAACCTGTGTTTGAGTCTCAATGGTAATAAATCAGTTTCACTGCTAAGGTTTCTACATGAGTTGGTGATAATTCGCGATTTTACGGTGATTTTTATAGATTAAAGTTTTATATCTTTGTCTAAGAAAACGAATTCAATGTTATAGATTTTAACTATTCCAATGCCGTCATAAAATTCGCCTTTGGAAAACTATTCAATGCTGCGGTTGCTGCAGTTCTTGGTTGAAACATGTTAGTGTTGCTATCTACGGCAGTGTCAGAATAGCCTAATTCTAATTCAATGGCAATGATATCAGAAAATGATAATTCTGTTGTTTCTTCTATAATTTAGCTTCCGTGCCCCCATATGTCTAGAATTTAGCACAGATCTCCGGTTGTTTAATACCCAGGTTTGAAGTTATGTCCTTTTAACACTGTTAATACTAGATTTATTCACTCGGGGACAGCTAGGGTCATTTTGAGGCGATGTATTATTGCAGTAGGTAGGGTCTATCTCAGTGAAAAACATACGGGCGGTCCGTCGCATGCCATCCAGAAAATAAGGCTCAAGTGTCTTAGAACATAACCATGTCAACACAGACTGTTCTGTTTCTCAGCTTCCTGAGAAACTACTTATCACGGGTAGAAAGCGTTGAACTATGCAGTTCAGATTTCTACCTGTGGATAAGTGGGCAAGCGCTCGTGGCCTCTTATCAAATAAAATCGCTTTTTAAGATAAATATGTAGATTGTTGTTGTCTATTTGTTTTCTTTTTAATCATCAGTATGCTTTACAACTGTTTTTCATAAGTTTGTTATGAGGGAATATTTAGGTAAGTTTGATGGTTGTCATAGTGATCTCATTAAGAAATAGTCTATCTCTTGTTGCGATATGAAGCTGGACGGGTTTGATGCTTGTTAGTTTTTCTGTTGTTTTATGAAACTACATGCTTGGATTGAACAAGAAACAGAAGACGCTTACTCTTTCGGAACACCTAATCGTATTCGCCTTGTACTTTTTCAGGAGTCTCCATGCAAATCTTTCTTTTGTTAATATTTTCCCTTGTTTATGGAATTTGAGTTTTGATTATGATTATGTTGACACGTTTATATTTTTTGTTTTCGTTTTTGCTTTTTTTTTTCTTTCAAATGTGGTCACTTCAATTCAAGTGGAAAAACGATTACTGTAAATATTGTCACCAACACAATATCACACATACTCTTAAAATACCTTGCGGGGATGATGAAAATCTTGAAAGAAAAGGACTTAAAAGAAAACACTTAAGTTAATTACCTGTCATCCGTAAAATAAATACTATGTTTGCCTCGGCTTTTGTTATAACCACGAAAGTTTTGTACCATTTGAAAAAAAAGGACATTTTACGGCATTTATCAATTTCCGTCGATTTTCATTGCATTGGCTAAATCAGGCGTTTCTTTTCGCTAACCAGACTTTTTTTTTGCATATCTACTAACTAAAATCAAGGACAATTGACAAAGATAGAAATAAAAATGACGTTATTACACTTTCACTCCCGACAACATATTTTAATGAAGTCATCAGAAAATCTGTGTGTCTCCTGGGCGTGTATGATAAAGTTGGAGAAAATGTGTTAAACCCATTAGAGACATTCTCTCTCACAGACGGCTACAAGATAAGGCCCGTTTAAATTATCCGCCAAGCGGCTATTAGCGCCTTTCACAAGGACATGGCAATAAACGGTTACTTTTGCAATTTCCTATTAGAGTACCTATTGTTTCTAACTTATTTTTAGTTCTCCCGTTTTAGATTTTAACAAATATCTTTGCAATCTGACGACATTGAAAATTAAAAAAAATATTAACACAGAATACGAAACAATTTTATTTATTATCCAATTTATCTTTAAACGGCCATAAAAACACCGGTTTTCCTATATCCGTATAGAAAGGATATCTTACTTAGAAACATGCTCGTCAAATCATTGATATCAACTTTGATTATGTAATGTACATAATGTACGTGAGAATTCTAGTTCAAACTTTCATATCTGGTCATAATCGATGAATGCTTATTCATATGAAATATTTTATACATTCTGCGCAAACTGTTTCTATATTAACCGTATGATATTAAGCGAAATAATCACTGTTCTTCAAAGAAATTATAGAAGTGATATGTAGACAAGGAGAGAGAGAGAGCAAAGAAGGCTCGAAGGCTCGGAAAATATGAAATGGGGGGGGGGGGGGGTTAGGGGCGGGGGGGGGGGTTGGGTTGGTAAGAGCAGGGGCATACGGAACATCTTGGTCCTTTTGTGAAGGGTCCGAGGCAACCCGGATGGAGGTGGGTGTACAAAACGCGCATTGGAATGAACTGGATACGACTCCCAAGCGGAACCCTAACTCCATGTGGTTGTTGATCATTTAAGGAAAGAGTGAAGAATCGTTCGATAAATTGGCTGTTTCCGAATATTTGATCTACTTGTTCTAAGGGCATGTGTATTCAAATACTATCACATCCTGAATAACCTCGTCGTCGATTCTGTGTTATATGCTAAGGATGTTGTTTACTATATTTGATGATCGCCTGTCATATCAATCCCTTAAAGGCAAAGTGCGTGATATGTTTTCCCTTGATATTGGAATTTGGGTTAGGGAAATGAAAATCAAGGATAGTATGATACTGTTAGTAACATTTGATAGCTATCAGCAATATAGATCACGTGTTTGTGTATTTATCGTAAAAAAGCCGTATATCAAAACCAAATACGTCACAATGATCATCAAAAACAATGCTGGTCGCAGATGGCGCCCCTGTCGATAACTTTGGGCACAAAATCATTTTATTATCCATTTAATCGTGCCTGGCTGTTGTAAATCATGATATACAACATGTCCGGCGGTCCATTTAGTATGGTAGTATTATTTTATTGACTGGGGAAACAAATAGCGTATAAGTATTAGAATGTTATCAATTTAAGTTATACTACACACATATCCTTCTTCACATCAGCTAATATGACATTGATTTAAACATATTTTCATTGTATTTCAAATGCAACGGGATTGAGTACAAAATTACAACTTATACAAAGTCCTTTCCCTGAATACAGCATTCGTGTAAATAGCGTCTGAACTAAACAATAGTACCATTCTCAGGATTCTAACTAAAAAACCAAACATGCTTAAATGTATGTTACCTGTATCAACATGGGTAACATGATATACTGCTAAAAAGTTTTATTTTGTGTTTCAAATTTTCGCGCATTAACCAAAAATATTGATGTAAGTGGATGTAGTTTTCACGGAAAGCATAAAATCGATATATGGATTTCTCCATTAATCTTATTTTAATGATTGCTTTCCGCAAAATTATAAAAAAAAATTCACGAAATCAACAGGATTACAGATTATCATTCATCAGATGAAGCCTTTTCGGTCAAAATGCCAGTCTTTGTATTTTAGCGGTTAAAATCAACACTATGTTAGTTTGATGTTCTAATCATTTATCATTGGACTGATTATAGAATGAAGTGATGGACAGCGTCCGATAAATTGGCTCGTTACGTAAATTCAATCGACTGACTTTCTCTCTCGATCTTAATGAATCAAAGCGTCGTCAATATTAACTTCAATACATTAAGTAGATTACACTCTCTAGCTTGTCGTATCAGCAGGTTTTAACTTAAAAAGACTGATAAAAACATAGAAAAAATACTTGCCTTGAAAATTTGATTGTAATGTAAAGAAAAAAATTGTTGGGACCAAAACGATTGCAAGATTTTGTAACAGCCGATATTTTTATCAGGTAATCAAGTTAAAATGTACAAAATCCCAGTTAATCGTGTAATACAACCCCTTTAAAGGGACATCGCGGTCAAAAACATTAATTTTGTTACTAATTGTACGTGGTTTGGGAAACCCCTCTTCAATTTAGCGCTAATAACGTTACATAATAGT